ACGTGCTGCAGCCACAAGAGGTCTTATTACATACCTTTGATCATGCCGGAAACATTTCCGTTTCAGAGATTTAGGACTTCCTATTCCCTCTGCCTAGAACTGTGCTCCTCGAAATATGCTCATGGCTCCTTCTCTCACTTCAGAGAAGCTTCCTAACCGTGTTCCCTCCCAGGATTCGTATGCTGAAGCCCTAATGCCCAATGTAATGAGGGCCTTTAGGGGAGTAATTAAGGTATAATAGGTCCTAACGGTGGGATCCTAACCCAACACACCTGGGACACTAAGAGGGAGACCCCAGAGAGGCCAGGTGAGGGCACGGCGGGGAGGAGGCCACCGAGGCCGAGGAGCAGGGTCTCACAGAAGCCAACTCTGCCAACATCTTTAACTTGGATTTCTAGCCTCCAAGCTCTTGTCTGCAGGAGACCGGGAAGCAGGAGGGTGGAGTACAGGGGACAGGCGTTAGGGCTCTGGGTTCAAGTCCCAGCTCTGCCACTTTCTAGGGGTGTGAGCCCCGGTGGGTCATGAACACTCCCGGCGCTTTTCTGTCTGTAGAACGGTGACGAGAGAAGTGGCCCTTACTTCAAAAGGCATTGATGTGAGACCATAATGAGACCCAGCACAGGCGATGCTTAGAGAACCGCCTGGAATAGGACATGCGTTCTGTAACGGGCACCTCCCATCGCACACGGCCTGCTTGCTCCCCTGGAACGCTGGTTCTGAGCGACAGGGACGTGGTCTCATCCAGGGATGAGCTCATAGCCCCCAAGCCAGTGCCTCTAGGGCACACGTTAAGCCCTTAATAAATATTTGTGGCCTGTCAACAGGAATAAATGCAAAAGCCGGTCGACCTCCTCTCAAAGTCCACAAAGAATGTAGATTCCCCACGGTCTGTTCTGTGATCATCTTATTTTTTTTTTTTGTGATCATCTTATTATTATTATTATTATTATCAAAGCCCCTTATTTGAAATTCACTGCCTTTGTTTCTACTTAATTTTTCTTTTTTTTTTAAAGATTTATTTATTTATGATAGACATAGAGAGAGAGAGAGGCAGAGACACAGGAGGAGGGAGAAGCAGGCTCCATGCCGGGAGCTCGACGCGGGACTCGATCCCGGGACTCCAGGATCACGCCCTGGGCCAAAGGCAGGCACCAAACCGCTGAGCCACCCGGGGATCCCTACTAATTTTTCCTATTGTTTTTGTAGCTGGACACGATCCACGCTCCCAGGTAACAGCCAAGGGCACCTCCCGCTGATGGACTTCAGAACACCCCTTGTCCCCTGACGCGTCACTGGCATGAGTCACCCTTTACGGCTCAGGCCGACGTGTGTAGAATCCGAATCAGAGGCCTGGTGGGTTTGGTACGACCTGCAACAGTCACAATTATCCACGGAAGGCTGCAGCCCCACTCCCGGGATAACAGGTGGGGTACGAGGAGCTCCCGAAGGCATTTTATTCCCAAATATCAAAATCTGCAATCACTTGTTTCTTAGCCAATCATGTAAAGTCAACGGTGGGAGCGTTCACTGTTATGGAAATCAACCGGCAATGCCATCTCCACTGGGTTACGTTCCTCAATTTTCACGGATGTATATTTTCCCCTAATATTAATGATTTTTCCCACTACCTGGTAAAGAGCCAGGAAAAGAATTTGCTGCCATTATGGTAAGTAAGAAATTGCACTGCCTATGACATCCCACCCTGAATTCTGCTAAATCAAATAGGTTACCAGCGTCCCCACCAGCGCCATCCCTCCATAGCTGCTATGCCTCCTAAATATAACCCCAAGCAACCAGTCTGGATGGAGAGAAGAGCCCTTATAAATAAAAGGTCCCGAGCTCTGAAGGATGTTTTAATCGATTCTGATATTTAATCTTCTCGAAGTTCGCGGTGCTGTGGCATTTTTTCAAGATTTAAGAAAACCTTTAAGACCAGCAGTCGCCACAAATCAAGATCTAAAAAGCAATCGCCTTTGCAACAGCATCAAAAATATGAAACAGGAGGACATCTGACCAGAAAATGTCCAAGGCTACGACACAGAAAACTACAAAACATCGTTGTGAGAAGCTAAAGAAGATCCAGAGAAAATAGAGACACGTGGGATATCCGTGGGTCAGAAGGCTCAATATTGTTAAAATTTCAATTCTCCCCATCATATTGACCTTCTGCTCCTTTCCTTTTTTTTTTCTTTTTTTCGTCTTTTTTTATTTTTTATTTTTTTCGTCTGCTCCTTTCCAGATGCAACGCCGTCTCAGGGAAAATCCCAACGGGTCTTTCTAGAAACATTGGCATCGTGATCCTAAAATTCACACGGAAATGAGGGTGACCCGTCTTAGCCCAGACGACGCTGGAAAAGAACAATGTCGGGAGCTTAGAGTACCCAATTCAAGACCCGTTTCGAGGCTCCAGTCATCGGAACAGAGCAGCCCTGGATCAGTGGGGCAGAGTCCAGGGCGCGGCGCCCATTGGACTTCTGGTTTTGTGCAAAGGTGCACGGGTGATTCGACAAATTCTCCTGGAATAACTGAAAAAAGGAAGGTGCTCGACCCCGCATCTCTCATCACATATAAATATTAACTCAGTAGATCATGATCCTGAACATAGAAACTAAAGCCACGTAACTGCGAGAGGAAAACCCAAGAGGAAACCTGTACGACCATGGGCTGGCCAAGGATTTCAGGGGTGGGACGTGGATGGCGCAAGGCACAGGAGAGAACCGGCCGGCGACGTCATGAAGACGCGAAACCGTTGTTTTCAGAGACCTTGGTAAAGGGATGAAAAGACAGAGCTAGAATGGGGACCGGGGTCCTTGCGAGTCCTGTGGGGAAGAAACTAGACTTCTTAGGACAGCGAGTGGCACAGCCTGGAGGAGTGGGGGATGGCCTCCTGCACCTCCCACGCGCCCTGGCCGCCACCCAGAGCTAGGGGAGCCCGGGCTGGGCGCGCGGAAGCAGACAGAGCTCGGCCGACAGCTACCTGGCCGTGGAAGCCGTGACACTGATCCACACGACGGCGTGGATGAGCCCAGAGGACCTGTGTCAAAAAAGGGACAGGCTGCACGACTCCACGCGTATGAAATTGGAGGACATGCGAAGTGACACCAGAGAGAGAGCCTGGGTCAGGGACTGGCTGAGGCCCCCGGGGCACGCAGGTTCACCTGCCGAAGCCCCCAAGCCACTCACCTTACTCCGACACCCACGTCCCCGGAAAGCGTGTCATTATTTTCCCAAGATGGTATGTATTTATTCAGGAGAGACCCAGAGAGAGGCGGAGACCCAGGACCAGGGGCCCTGCGGGGGCCCGAGGTGGGACTCGATCCCAGGACCCGGGTCATGGCCTGAGCCGAGGCCTCCGGGCGTCGCATCCAGAGCCCCGTAAAGGGAAAAGTAACCTTGGAGCCCGGGCACAGGCCGCGCCGAGGACCCAGGCAGGGTGAGCTCAGAGGCAGCGTCCCCGCCTCTCGGCCCCTTCCGGGCGCCCCCTGGCCCCCGATGCCGCTGGCGTCCTGGGGGCCCCCAAGCTGCCGCCCTCCCATTGTCATGCCCCACGGCCAGGCCAGGCCCCAGGTCTGCAGCCGGCCCGAGCCTCACCACCGGCCTTCCTTCCGAGCAACGTCTCCACGGCCCAGCCCCGCCATCTGGGCTCTGCATGCCCCGTCTACACGGCCACCTCGGCCTCCACCCCGAGCCCCAGATTTCCAGGCTGCCGGGTGCATTGCCCCCACGTGACATGCCACCTGTGCCCCCCGCCGCCTGGCCTCCCCCGGGCTCGGCAAACACCCGGCACCGTGCAGGTCAGCAGTGACAACGGGGCTGGGTCTGGTCGTGGCTCCAGGCTGGTCCCTCCCCACGTGTGCTGAGGTGACTCGGGGGTCCCTGGGCCCCCACGGGGCGTGTTCCGAGCTGCCTCCCGTGGCCACTCCAAGCAAGGAATGGGCTCTGTGGAGCACCGGAGGCGTGGGACCAAGGGCCGAGCCAGGACCAGCGGCAGCTCCGGGACGTCCACCCTAGAACCTGGCCGCCGAGGCCCCGGGCCCTGTCCGCGGCCCCTTGTCTCCAGGGCTGAGCCAACCTCCCGGGTCAGAGGGCATCCCGCGGCCCCATCCAGCGTCCTGCGGCCCCCGCTCCCGGCCTGCCCTGTGTCCCGTGTCTAGGGGGCAGGCCCCCGCTCCCAGCCGCGCTCGGGGCAGACATCGTCCTATTAATGACCGTGACCTGGGTCCCTCCCGGATCAGTGTCTCCCCAGGGCTCCCACTGATGCCACCGTCACCTCACCTTGCTTGGCGCTCGCCGGGGCCAGGGCGCTGAATGGAGCAACACACAGTCTGCACGTCCCGGGTCCCCGGCTCGGGGCGTAGGGGTCACAGTGAGCACCTGTCAAGCCGAAAGAGGCCGCACGGCCGCCCCGTGGGAAGCACCCAGAGAAATGGCCACAGGGCACCAAGGGTTCGGGGGAGGAGAGCGGGCGGGGTGGGGCAGGTGACGCCGGGGCCGCCCCAAGGGCTCCTGCTGCCATCGAGTCGTCTCTGTGCCGGGACGAAGCTGTTCACCGAGGCGCCGGGCCCAGGCCCCAGGAAGCCCACACGCTTGCTGCTCCCCAACCCAGGGGGACCAGGCCCAGGCTCAGTATTAGCTACACACCTGCATGGGAAGGAAAATTCACGTTCTCCAGATCACGGGTTCACAGCTACAGGAACATGGCTACATGTAATCTCAACTCTGAAATTTAGAAAATATAGAAATTCGGCCGACGTCTGGGAATATATGAGTAGAACACATATGCCAGCGGGGTTTGCTTCGAGTCAGGTACTTCTCGTTCCAGACAAACTGGACACCACGAAATCTAGGCCCCCGCCAGTGGGCTCGTCCCGAATGGTCTGGAAGGGGCGCCTTCCAATTCCCCTACACTGTGGGCCGAGTTACAGAGTAACTTGCCAGCAGTCTGCTCAGAACCCACAGGGCTGTTGACTCAGAGCAAAGTCCACCAGATTCCACGGAGCTGTGCCGAGCGGAGGCCACAGCCAGTCCCAGCGGGGACACGATGCGCTCGGTGCCGGCGGCCTTCCTGGCCGAGCTCCCCGGCAGCCTCCTGCTCGCCGCCGTCTTCCTGCCCGTTGTCCTGCTGCTGCTCCTGCTCATCCTCTGCTTCAGGGCCCAGCTTGTGCACGGTGAGTGGGAGGCCGCGGCCGCCCCCGCCCCGCGTGACACCCTGCCCTGCACTCTCGGCTGCCGGGGCCTCCCCGCTTTTCTGCACAGCCTGCCCCATGCCGCCGAGGGTCCCTCGGGCTGGGCCTGAGCGAGTGGCGGAGGACCCCTTACTGCGGCCCCGGCCCGGCCCCTGCCCGACCTAGACCCCAGCGCCGACCCTGACCCCAGTCCTGACCCCAGCCCTGGCCCTGGCCTGGCCCTCACACCAACCTAGACCCTGACCCTGGCCCAACCTCTAACCCCGGCCCCTACCTAGACCCCCACACCTGGCCCGACCCCAGCCCCAACCTAGACCCCAGCGCCGACCCTGATCCCAGTCCTGACCCCAACCCCAGCCCTGGCCTGGGCCCCACCCCGACCTAGACCCTGACCCAACCCCTGACCCTGGCCCCGACCTAGACCCTGACTCCAGCCTGCCCCCAACCTCTGACCCCGGCCCCTGGCCCAACCCCGGCCTGACCTAGAACGTGGCACCGACCCTGAACCCGACCCCAACCCTGGCCCCCACACCTGGCCCCCACACCCGGCCCCGGCCTGGCCCTCAGCCCGACCTAGACCCTGACCCCAGCCCAACCCCTGGTCCTGGCCCCCAGCCCGACCCCAGCCCCAACCCTGGCCCCGACCTAGACCCCTGTACCCAGCCCCAGCCTAGACCCGACCTAGACTCTAGCGCCGACTCTGACCCCAGCCCCAGCCCTGGCCTGGCCCCCACCCCAACCTAGACCCTGACCTTGACCCAACCCCTGACCCTGGCCCGACCTAGACCCTGACTCCAGCCTGCCCCCAACCCCTGGCCCAACCCCAGCCCCAACCCAAAGCGTGGCTCTGACCCTGACCCCAACCCTGACCCTAGCCCCCACACCCAGCCCCAGCCTGGCCCCTCCCCGACCTAGACCCTGACCACAGCCTAACCCCTGGCCCCAGCCCAACCCGACCCCAGCCCCGACCGGACCCTGGCTCCAACCCCCACCCCCAGCCCCAGCCTGGCCCCCACCCTGACCGAGACCCCGCCCCCGCCCCGCCCCCAGGCCCACCTGTGGAGCAGCACCCAGGCCTGTGACGCGGGCCTCCGCCCCAGGGCAGCACACCCCACGGCCGTCAGAAAGGGGCTCGGGGCCGTGACACAGGCACAGACACAGGCGTGCAGGCAACGTGTGCACACGCGCACCTGTTCTCATGAAGGTGCCAAACGCTGTGCGATCAGGGCGCTTGGCGAATGTTGGGCTGAGGGCTTGGCGTTAACTCTCCGTGAGTCTTTAGTCTGAAGGAAAAACCAAACCAAACCAAACCAAAGCGAAGCACCAGGAGCTCTGAGCCAGTCAGGCCGCCGCTGAGTTCTGCTGTAAGTGAGCAACTGAAGTGTGACGCCGGGCTGAGCGTCACTTGGGTGCGTGGCAGGCACCAGATCGGCGAGCTGAAGGGTCCCCGGCAGGGCTCCTGAGGCTGGTGCTGCTGCCATGCACGGCGCCCAGGAAAGGAGCAGCGAGGCAGGCGTGAAGGTCCTTCCTCTCCCGTGGACGTGTGCCAGGTGCACGTGATGTCTCTACAGGGGCCCCGCTCCCCACGGGGGCTCCCGACCCTCAGTGAAGGCCATCACATACGACCTACGATCAAATAGAAGGACAGCTGGGGTATTTTCTTTTTTTTAATAGAGGGGAAGGGCCAAGGGAGAGAGAGGAGGAGAATCTCAAGCAGGCTGTGCGCCCAGTGTAGACCCTGGTGCAGGGCTCGATCTCACACCCTGGGGTCATGACCTGAGCCAAGATCAGGAGTTAGATGCTTAACCGACTGACCCCCCCCAGGAGCCCGGGGACACTTGTGGGAGGAGACGGGGAACACAAGGAGGCCCTGGAGGACGGGGAGCATGCCGCCGGGTAGCGGGGTTCCATCCCAACTTACCGACTCTCCCTGGCTTTCCGTCCTGTGCCTCCTCTCTGCGAGCGCCGTCCCGGAGGAGCCAGCTGTCCGTGTCGCTGTCTGGCAGCGGGCCCAGCCCTCCTCCCTGCTAGGTCGGCTTGGCCTCCACTGCTCAGCCTCCTGGCCCTTAACGGCCCCAAGCCCTGGAAGAGAAACTTGAAACGGGAGGAGAGCCTGGGGGCTCCCCGGAATGCTGGGGCAGGATGGCAGCCCCCGGCCCAGGCAGTGCTGCCGGGCCCGGCATCGAGCACCCCACGGAGCAGCAGCACCGTCCTACATCGCGGTCACAGACCGGAGCCAGCCGTCCAACCCAGGTTTCGCTTCCGGCCACCTTTCTGGGTAACTTGAGTATCTCAAAGATGCAGAAAGCGGGAAGCAAGGGAAGCAACGGGCCGAGGGAGCCGACGGCCCCAACGTGCCCTCCGCCTCCGCCATCAGCCCTTCGAGGCCAGGCCACTCAGCCGGACACCCGGTGCCGGGCCAGACGCTTCAAGAAGGATCTGACTTTACAGCCTTCCGTAGCCCTGGGCGCCATCTGGGCAAACTCCTGTGATCTGCAGAGACGGACAAGGAGGCCTCCGGGCTTCCCGCCGCTCAGGCAATGCGGCCCTGCTCAGCTGGGGGATGTGGACGCGCCACACACGGCCAAGGCCCAGGCCGACGGTCACGTCCCCTTGGGAGCCCGGGGACGGCAGCCCACCCGGCGCTGCGCCCGCACCCCAGGGCGGGGAGGGGACACCCTGTGCGGGCAGCGGGGGCGCAGTGCCAGGCCTGGGGCAGGCCCGGTGTGGACGGGTCGAGGCAGCAGGGTGCTTCCGTCTTGGCCATGTCCCTGCCCGGCACGTGCTCCGGAGAGAGCCCCGAGGCAGCGCCTAATGTGGGGGGAGGCAGGAGGCCGCCCGCACCACAGGCCAACACCTGGGGTCCCCGCCGCCGAGGCTCCCCCTGCACGTGCACGGGCCCGGAGGGGCTCCCACGTATCTAGGGCCTGCCACGCGCCAGGGAGGGGCCAGGCCCGGGGACAGGGTCCCACCAGGGCCTTTCAGAACCCAGAGAACCACCCCAGGTCTGCAAAACCCCAAAAGGCACCTGGCAAAACCGTGAGAAGCCCTTAGAGACGCGGCCCATCTCTGCTTCTGGCTGTGATCTCGGTCATGGGTCTGGGCGGCGCCTCAGGAGTGGCCTCCCCGTCCCCCAGCCTTGGGGCCCCGCGCTCCCAGCAGAGGCAGCTGCGTACCCACCGCAACGAGCAACACCCACCCCCCCGGCCACCTGCCCTCCCGGGCTCCCCTTCCCTGGCATCTCCTGAGGTCTAGGGCTGCGGCTCCAGGTGGGAGGCTGGGGGGGAGGGGGGAGGAGCTGGGAGGCATGGGGAGGAGGAGGGGCCAGCGCCACTCCACCCTGGGTGCTTCATGCACCAGGTGGCCCATGTCGGCGCCTGCAGGACAGCAGGGGAGCACCACCCGCTGGTCCACAGGAGCACTACCTGCCATGGGAGCCCCAGCTGCCGGCCCACGGGAGCACCGCCCACCAGCCCCATGGGAGGACTGCCCCCCCACGGGAGGACCGCCTGCCAGCCCCATGGGAGCACCACCCACCGGCCCCATGGGTGCACTGCCTGCAGGCTCCACAGGAGGACCTCCCACCGGCCCCACAGGAACACCGACCCCCGGCCCCATGGGAGCACCGCCCGCCAACCCATGGAAGCACTGACCCTGGCCCCACAGGAGCACCACCCCTTGGCCCATGGGAGCATCACCCACTGGCCCACAGGAGCACTGCCCGCTGGTCCCACGGGAGGAGTCCCCCCCCACAGGAGCACTGCCCACTGCCCCACGGGAGCACCACCCGCTGGCCCCATGGGAGAACTGCCCCCCACGGGAAGACCGCCCCCTGGCCCACGGGAGCACCGCCTGCCAGCCCCATGGCCAAAGCGGGTTTCCCCACTGCTTCCCTTCAGTTCGGACTAGGCCCCGGTGCGCCGGCTGTGGCAAGTGGGGTTGGAGTGCTGGTCCCTGTGGGCACCGGCCAGGGGCAGCTCCCGGGAAGCCTGCCCTGCATGGCTCTCAAAAACCTCCTACTCACACCACAGGCTGCTGATCTTTCCCTCTTCTCCCAAAGGGAACTGTGCATCCTTTTCATGGGTAACTCCTGCCTATACGTTTTCCAGGGTTAGCAGGCAACCTTAGCCTGAACATACTTTCATTTTTATGTAGGTCTCTTCCCTTTGTTTTCCAAATTTTCCTTTAAAGAAAAAGATCTTTAAGAATATTTTAAAAAGGCTGTTCTTTCTGTAGCTGTTTTCCTAAGTGTAAGTAGTTATATCATTTCTATACTTTTAGGGGAATTGAGAGCACTTGGCCCCAAATAAGATATCACCAGTTCGTATCTTTATTTAGCTGTTCCCACTTAAAAACCGTAGGCAGATGGTCAAGTGTCACGTCATGAATCTTCCAACTAGGGTCACGGCAAATGTAATTGTTCCTATTTTGTTCCTGTAAAGAAAAGGACATTGAGAGATTAAGCGGGGTGTTCACAGAATCCCAGAGTCCTACATTCTGGAGCAGAAAACCAGCTCGCCCGCCCCATACGTCCTAGTCCATCCACCGAAGAGGCATTTTAGGATGTGATGGACGGTATTGTGATCGCTCACCACTGATCCCCACATTCGGAGGTAATGGTGCCCGCGGAGCTAATTAGTTTGTAGACCCCAACGTTCTCACAAAGGAAGAAAGGAAATTCTCTAGCGTCATGCGCTCTCCGTCCCTTGCCTTGAGGAGTGGCTTTGGAGGCAGCTCGGAAGCCTGAACCTCCCATCAGCGAAGCCTTCATCACCCACTGCCATGGACATTTCCTACCTTGTGGAGCAGAGGCTTGGATGATCTCCCCAAGTCCTGTGATTCCTAAACCTCTACCTACAGTGCGATACTTGCCCCCCAAATACCTTCACCCTGACCAAGCACAGAATGCTCTCTAAATAACCAACAGTGCCCAAATAATCATTATTTTCTTAAAAACAAGTCTATTGAATGCCTGCAAGTTTCCGTATGGGGTTAGACCCAAAATAAGGCCCAGTAAGTGATTGCAGTCTGGCCCTCAGTGACGTTCACGTTCCAGAACAAACATCTCAAGCGCTGAAAATGCGCGGGCGCCCAGACAGCTTTCACTGACCTTCATATGTGTGTCCCAGTGGTCCGCGATCGAGAGGGGGAAAGAACAAGTCCAGACGACGTAAGGGTTAGTGGAGAGCTCGGACTGTGGAACCAAACCAAACGGGGTTTGACTTCCAGATGTCGCCACGGCCACCCGACCTCCTGAGGTCGTTTCTTCGTCTCTAAAATCAGGTCGTAGCAGGAAATAGCCATCTGGTTGGTGTGGCGGTTGAGTGAGGCGCTACGCACAAGGTTCTCAAGAGCGCCTACCACAAAACTACCGTGATCACTACTCCTGCAGCTTACAACCCCCTAGAAGCTGTGTTTTGGCACAAGCGTAGCTATGATTAAAAATCACCCTTGTAAGAATTAACTAAGCTGCCCAAATCGCTCACCTGGAGAGTGGGAGAGACCAGAACGGAACTGGGCGGGCGGGCGCCGGAGCTAGGCTTGTCCGCTACCATGCAGACTGCACGTGCGCAGGCACCTGCTGCAGGGGTGCACCCACCGACACGGAGGGGGCCGGGGGAGAACTTTAAGCAAGGCAAGGAGCTGATGAAAGCTCGGAGCGGCTTTGCTCTCCTCACGGGACAGCTTACGAGTGACGGGGACTCCTTAGCGCCAAGGCTTCGCCCTGAGTCCCAGAGGCCACATCCCTTCACCTGGGGCCTCAAGAGGGAGACATCCATCGCCTATGGAGGGGGCTCAAGGACAAACTCCGTGTTCTCAAGGCCACCTGGTGTCACCTGCCTGGGGCCTCCCGGTGTGCTCCCTGAGCCAGGGGAGCCAAAAGGGGCGGGGGGGGGGGCGCTGCGCTTGGTGGGCTCCCCCTGGGGCTCTCCATGCTGGTTCTCGCTCCCTGACTCCTGTCCGTCAGTCTCGCTGCCCAGGTCGACCATTCTCAGTTCTGCGATGTGTGTCCCGGTTCCTCTGTCACAGCACCGATCGTGTGGTCAGTCTTCGGGGTTACGGGGGAGAGGGACCCATCCCCTCTGGATGAGACTGTGGCCTAGCGGGGCCCCTCGAGAGACGCCTTGGTGCCAGCAGTGGTCCCAGGAAGGGGGTGGGCAGCGGGGCCCAGTGTGGCCAGGTGGGCGCGGCACCTGCAGGCTGGGCACAGCCTGAAGCTTCCAGAGTGCAGAGAACTGGTGTCACCTGCCTCAGCATGTGCGGCCCTGAGTAAGACAAGCGAGGGCAACAGCCACAGGACACCACTGCGAGAATGAGGCGCGTGAGGTGTGCACAGCGATTCCCGGTGTGGGCCCTGCCCCGTCCTCCCCACGTCCCCTGCTGCAGCTTCCGAGGCTCGGGGAACCCACGCCCGTCACACCCAGGGCCCGGGTGACTCCTCCAGGGCAGGCGCGGTGCCCAGCGGGGGACATGCCGCGTGGGCCCAATCGAGCCAAAGACCCATGAACACGCAGCCCCCGCTACAGGCTCCTGGTCTCGGATCTGGATGACCCAGTAACTGCGGTTCTGGAAAGAAGATTCTGAGGAGGAGAAGCAGGCCCGGGGCCAGGCGGGCGAGAAGGCGGGGGTATTTGCTGCCATTCAGGGAAGACCCGGGGGACCCGCGGGGACCTCAGGGGACATTGCATGGCCGCCAGGGGGGTGACACTGGAGCTGCAGAGGCAAGCGGGAGGCCGCAGGTCGCGGGGGGTGGTGACAGCCGGAGTAAGGGGCTCGGGCCGGGCCACCGAAGGGAGCTGCATGGGAAGGCGCCACTGTCCCTGGCCCGGGGCCACCGGGAGCTCGCGGGGTCGGGCAGGTGCGCAGGCGATGAAGGTCGCAACCGTCAGTTCAGTGAAGGACGAGAGGCAGCAGGGGGAGGGCAGCGCCAGCCGATGGCCCCACACAGGTTTGGGGGGCCTGTGTCCCCCTTCACACCCCTGCCTTGGCCTACGACCTGCTTTATCGATGCCAACCCAGTGGGGCCTTAGGGACGCTGATCGTGGGATCAGAACTCACTGAGCTCGCACCTGTCAGGATGACGTGTCCGCCACCGTCGGGAGCATTCATTCACATTCCCGTGGGGGGCGGTGGGGGGTCGGGGGGGACCCCGCAGCGGGGAGGTGGGGGACCCTGCAGCTGGGGAGGTGGGGGGACCCCGCGCTAATGGCCGATTGTCCTTCCAGTGGAAGAGGAGCAGTGGCTGTGGGCGCGCCGCCAGCGGAGACGCAGGTCCCGGTACCGGGGGGCGCCCAGACAGCGCCCGGGGGGCTGACCTCGTCGGGGCGGTGCGCTTCTACCGCCAGACAGCGACGACTATGAAATAAGGTGACCAGCAGCGGCGACAGCGCGACAGAAGCCCAGGCGGCTGCCTCGGAACCGCTGTGCCAAGTGGCCGCCCCCAGCGGCTGGGAGCCCGGGCGCAGGTGCTCATCGCAGTGCAGGTGCTCATCCTGGTGCAGGCGCTGGTCCCGGGGCAGGTTCTCACCTTGGTGCAGGTGCTCATCGCAGCACAGGTGCTCGTCTCAGCGTAGATGCTCCTTGCAGCGCAGGTGCTCACCTCGGTGCAGGTCCTCATCCCAGCGCAGGTGCTCATCGCAGCACAGGTGCTCGTCTCAGCGTAGATGCTCCTTGCAGCACAGGTGCTCACCTCGGTGCAGATGCTCATCCCGGCGCAGGTGCTCATGGCGGCGCTGGGAGTCAGGCTTTCCTGGCCGAGCCCCGCGGACTGGACGCCCCGCGCGCTGTGACTTCTGCAGGGCCTAGTGTCGTCTGGGGGACGCGGTTTTTAAGTGACATCGCTGAGGATCCCCTCCTGTGGCCCCGAGAGAGCACAGGTGGCGCTAATGCCAGAGTGACGAGGCCCCAGGTCCCCGCGCCCGCTCAGAGGGCATCCTTCGGTCTCGGGGTCCCCTCCCTGCTGCCCTCACCCATCAGCACTCTGGTGACAGCGCAAGACGAGCGTGCGGGTCCCAAGGTGCGGGTCACGGTGTGGGTGCGTGGCCATGGGGTCCGGGGACAGCGGCTCCAGGACGATGCTCGCCTTGGCCGCGCAGACCGACCGGTCAGCGGCTATTTCCAAACGTGGAAGAACGCCCACGCTTCGGCACGAGCTCTCTTCCCCGTGGGAGGGCGCCCAAGGGCTCGAGGATGACCGGTCGCCAGCACTGAGCTCCGAGCAGGGGTGAGGGAGTAGGGGCTGCCCCGCTCCGGGACCACAGCAGGTGCTCCCCGTGCCCCCCAGGACCCCAGCAGGTGCTCCGTACCCCCTCCAGGACCACAGCAGGTCTGGCTGTGTCCCCGGCTTCACTTGGGAACGTCCCGAGCTGTTAGCGGCACCGAGTGAACAGGGGACGCGGGTTAGAGACGCAGCACGGCAAGGATCAGAGCCAGAGCGCGGCCCTGGACCCGCCCCCCCCCCACCCCCGCTCCTGGCGCTTCTCGGCACCGGGCGCTGATGCTGAGCCTCCGGGTGCACTGGGTGCGTCGCGTGAGACCCGACCCCTTGGAGACAGTCCCTCCAGGTCTCTCTACATCTGATCACGAGGGGCCTCCCCGCAGGGCTTCCAGGCCTCTGCTGGCGCCACGGGGGGGGGGGCGGCGCCCCACCGGCCCTGGGGGGCTCCTTGCCCCTCGACACCCACGGACAGTGCGGGCCGAGGCTGGGCCGCCAGGGGCGGATGCACGACGCGGCTGCGGGGACCCGGCCACGCACTGGAGGCAGCGCCCGGGGTGGTGTCGCGCCCACCGGCACCTCCAGGGACTCGGGCGCAGGCGGTGCTGTGAGCGGAGGGGCCTCCCGGGGGACCAAGCCCCGCTCCCCGGTGCTGAAGGCGCTACGCTCTGTCCCCGGCCCGCGAGGGAGCGCCACCCGCAGCCGCACCTGCACAGGGTCACCGCAGCTCGCGGCAGCTGGGGGCGGCTGGGGGGAGCTCGGGGGAGCTGGGAGCGGCTGAGGGCGGCTGCGGGCAGCTCGGGGGAGCTTGGGGCAGCTCGGGGGAGCTGGGGGCGGATGGGGGCAGCTGGGGGGAGCTGGGAGCGGCTGGGGGCGGCTAAGGGCAGCTCGGGGGAGCTCGGGGCAGCTGGGGGGCAGCTGGAGGCAGCTCAAGGGAGCTCGGGGGGGGGCAGTTCGGGGAGCTCGAGAGCAGCTCGGGGCAGCTCAAGGGAGCTCGGGGGTAGCTAGGGTAGCTGGGGGAGCTCAGGACAGCTCGGGGAGCTCCGGGAGCTCAGGGGCAGCTAGGGGGAGCTCGGGGAAGCTCAGGGGCAGCTCAGGGGCAGCTCAGGGGCAGCTCGGGGCGTGCTGGCTGTACCCCCGTCCCTGCGTCCCCTTAGGGACCCCTTCCGCCCCGGGGCTCCCAGGCCTCTCCCGGGCCCAGAGGCTCTCAGGGTGGCTCCTACCCCTACTTTGCAAGAACTCCTGTCCCAACTCTTTCCCCAACACGAGACCTTGGGTAAAATCGCGCTCCTTAGGTTGCCTTTTTTTTCCGTGAAAATTCACCGAACAGTAACTGTTGTTACGAGTGACGTAAAGCTGTCCGTGCTGACCTGGCACGTCGGTCGGCAGCCGCGCTGGGACCCCGGCCCCGAGAAACGAGAGATGCGCGGGCAGGACGCGACCCCTGGGTGTCCTGCTGCGCCCCGAACAGGCGGACTCACCTGGATTTAACCTGACCAGTTAACAGCCGCGAGCGTTTTATAGAATTCAGTAGCAACTAAAGAATGAAGGACAAATGCACACGGTCCGACACCAAGAACAGCTTTACTCTGGAGTCTTAGGTTCTCGCGCAACACGGTGTCTGCTGTCATTCGAGTTCTCGACCATTGAACCTGGGCGCCCGGCGGGCTCAGCGGTTAGCGCCGCCTTGGGCCCAGGGCGTGACCCCGGGTCCCGAGATCGAGTCCCACGTCGGGCTCCCCGCAGGGAGCAGCTCCTGCCTTTGCCTGTGTCTCTGCCTCTGTGTCTCTCATGAGTAAATAAATACAATCTTTAAATAATAATAAAAATAAAAACACGTTCTGGAAATTAACTTTCTGAGTTGCTTAGCAGCAGGAGGTCTGGATCACTGCGAGGCTCTTGCTTCCCCCCCCCCCCCCCGCCCGCCCGCCCATCAGAAGGGACCCGTGGGTTCATCAGAACCTACGCAGCGCGTGAGTGACAAACACAAAACACACATTCGAAACGTTTTATTTATAATCGGCACCAGGCAGATTAGGAATTCAAGAATTCTTTCCGCTGTTGTTTCGATCATTCAAACCCACGTCCCCAAACCCCGGTCACTAAGGGCAGAGGCTCTTCCCTTCCATCCGGATGATGAGCTTTCTGGGAACCTGATGGGGGCTCAGCCGCGACGTCCACGCGGGGCCGCCGGACGCCCAGCATCTGCGCCTGCGCGGGGGGGCCCTGGGGAGGGGGACAGAGGGGAGGGGCCGTGGGGGAGGGGGGAGATGGGGAAGGGCTGGAGTCCCGCGGGGGAGGGGGCAGGGGCAGAGGGTGGGCCGTGGGGGAGGGGGCGGTGGCAGAAGGGGCCCGTGGGGGCGGTGGGGGAGGGAGACGGAGGGGAGGGTCCGTGGGGGAGGGGGGCGGAGGGGGAGATGGGGAGTGGCCGGGGGCCCGTGGGGGGTGAGCAGAGGGCGGAGGGGGACAGAGGGGAGGGGCCGTGGAGGAGGGGGCGCCGTGGGCGGGGCACAGTCGGCCGCCAGGTGGAGCCGGTCCCGTGACCGGCGGGCGCGCTCCGAGGGCAACCGCGCATGCGCGGGGCCATGAGGCCACCGGCTCCGCCCCCTCCGCCTCCGCGCGCCTGCGCAGTCCGTGTTCTCGCGGCTGCTTCCGGCCGCCGTGAGGTGCGGGCCGGGCCGCGAGGACTTGCCGCTTCCGCCCGCGCCTGGGTCGAGCTGCCGGCCGCGCGCGCTCGGGAGGGCGGCGGAACCACGTGCCCTGTGCCCCGGGCCCGGGAGGCCGTTAGGGGCGCAGCCGCCCTCCGGCCGGTGCCTCCTCAGGAACAGCAGAGCCGCCGCCCGGGCCTGAGGGCCGCTCCCGGGGTCACAGGGCCTCCGGGACGCGGCGGAGGCCCCGCGCTGACAGGGCGTCGTCGGGGGCGGCCCGAGGGGACGCCCCGGCAGCGACTGGGCTGAAGCCGCCAGCCCGTGGGCAACCTGTGGGGGCGGCGGCGGCCGCAGGCTGAGGACGGCCCCGCCCCCGGCCCCTCCCGCCACGGCCCCGCCCCCCGCCGGGCCCCGGGAGCGCCCACAGAGGAGAAGCGACAGGCTGCGGGAACACAGAGCCTTTATTTCACGGCCGCATCACAGCGGGGCGCTCGGAGTACAGGGGAGGCTGCCAGGACGCGAGGCGGGCACCGGCCCGCACGGCCCGCACGGCGGTGGGAGCGAAGGAGAGCGCGCCGCCCCCATGGCCGCCGCCCCCGCTCGGCCTCCGCAGCCCTCCGTCCGCCACGGCCCGCCCCGCCCGGGCCCCGCGCCTGCTCTTACGGGGCCGCCGCACCGCGCACGCGGCCCGCACCAAGCGCCCGGCGCCGGACGCCCGGAAACCTCGTGCCTGGCCGCAAGCACGACGTGGCGCCTCCTCCCGCAGGGCTCGGCCCTCGCCGCAGGTGCCACGGCTCCGCAGTGGAGGCGCCCGAGAGCCTCAGACGCTAGAGGACCTTCCGGATGCACGGACCGCTCCTGAGCGGCAGCGACGTTTCCTCGGCGGCGTGGCCGCTGCGCTCCGAAGACTCCGCTGTTTACCGTGCGAAGTCGAGGGGAAGCGTCCGAAGGTGGGAAAGCCAGCATCGGGATTAGTCAGAGCACCTGTTCAGGTGAACAGCACCTCACCAGCCGGGCTGGCTTTGTTCACCGTCATCGATCAAAATGAGTGACAAAAAGCAGGTAGTTGTACACAAAGTAAACGGGAAACAAAAACAAAACTCCCTAGTTAAAAAAAAGAATCAAGAATGTTTAGAAGTGGTTATAAAACAAAATAATGTATTAAAATGCGGGGGAACAGGATAGACCAGGGCTGTTAGGTAAGGTTTGGTTGTCGGCATTTTAATTCTTCAGGCTCCTGGTCGGGTTACCGGCGTAGCACGGACTGGCGGCAGTAGGGGGGCGGCGCGGACACCTGCGAGGGCCGAAGCTCCTCAGGTTTGCAAAGTCGAGTGTTGTTTAAAAGATGGGTTCTCTAGGAGGAAAAAAGAGAGAAAGGACTTAAATATTCCAAAGACACAGGCTTGGAGGAAAAAACCCACATAAGTACTGTCCCACACAATTCCCAGTCGGACCACCGACCGTCACCGTGCCTGGTCCCACAGCGGGGCCACTCCCGGAGGCCAGCACGACGGCCCGCCCGGTGCCCTGCGAGCAGACCGGCCCAGGAGCTGCCACGCACGGGTGACCCCAACCTGCACGGTCCCCGAGGGGAAACCGAGGTCGGCTTTTTAAAGCTCGATGCAAGGAAGGAGGAGAAACCAAGCCCGTTCGAGCTCCCTGACATGAGCGGCAAAGGTGCCTCAGGTGAGGAGAGAGGGGACACAGACTTTGTGGACGGGGAATCGCCCACGGGGCACAGGAGGTCAGGGGAAGTGTCAGGACCTCTCTGATACCACACCGAGCAGCACACGCTTGGTCTAGCAGCCCGGGGAGGCCGCACACAGCCCAGAGAGGTTGTACACAACCACACACGGCCCCGGGAGGCTGCACAAGGGCCCAGGGAGATCGTACACGGCCGCACACGTCCCAGAGAGGCTGCACACAGCCCGGGGAGGCTGGCGCAGAGGGCAAGCGAACCCGACGGGGACGGGCTCTGTGAGCTTAAAGCAAAGTGAGACATGAGCCCAAGAAACCCTCAGTCGGAGGAAGGGAGGGACTAAAATGGGAGCAGACCAGGGGGCAGACAGGAAAGTAAGGGTGATGTGCTGTCCCCGAAGGAGAAACAGGTTTTGGGAAGGTGACTTTTCACTTCTTAGTTGAGCTGGTCAGACTCTTGGTGGGTGGTGGTCACCCAGCGAGCAGTGCAGTGCTCCTCAAGCTCCTTCCCAGAGACACCGGCCCTGAAGTCGACTGGAACAGACATAATTAAGTCTTGTTTCCTAGGAAAACCCGCCAGCACGGAGACTTCTCTCACTTGCTGTTAGCCTCCTCTCAGATGGGTCTCCTGCCCGTTAGGTGCTTGAGGCTGTTTCACTGCTGGTTCCAGGCCGGGGGTAGGGGGCAGCGGGACAGAATCAGTGGAGCAAACCCAAAGTCCTGTTTTAGGTTAGTGATTATGAACAGACCCCTGGGGGTGGTGATTGGCACCGATGAAAGATCAGTCACTATCACTGACTTGGGGACCTTGCTGGGACCTCAGTCACAGGATCGCCCCCTGCTCTGGGTGAGTGGCTCTGTTCTCCTTGCTCAGTGAACACCCGTTGTTCTTGGAACACACCCGCCCCCGCAGCCCAGCTTCTATTAGGAAGGAACCTCCCACATCGGCAGTGCCTGCAAAGCCGCAGAAGACGAGGCTTCCGATCCCATTCTCCACGTCCCTGGACACCATGGCACAGTATTTCACGAACCGGCTTTCACCAAAATTAAAACTTCAATTTAGAAAACAAAGCTAAAATTAAACTTGTAAACAGGAACCACGAGTACGTAAGAGTTGAATGAGAAGTCTTGATTTCAAAGAGCTTCAACATTTATTGAACTACATGTGGAGAAAGATGTAGTTGCCCACGTAAACCCGAAGGTCATTTGCTTTCCTGTATTCACAGACCACTAAAAGGTAAAATAAAGCACCTCCCTTTGCCGAGAGTAAGGATCACAAACGACAACCTGCACATATGCTCGCACTGCACACCGCTGCGGAGTGAAGGTCGCATCACTGAGATTTTTAGCAGCAGGCACATTTTCCCGTCGTTCCTCAAGCAGCAGTGAATCACGTGCAGCTGAGTGGCGGGCAGCGTGTCAGGACAGCCCGGTGGGCCCTCCCCGCTGATGCAGACGTGGGCACTCGTGGGCCGTCTGTGACAGGCGCACCAGCCAACCTCTGCTGCTTCCAGTTCCTGCCTTTACTGAGGTTCTGAGCCCGGGGGGGGGGGGCATAGGCCGCAACCCCCAAGGCCACTGCTGCACGCTCATCACACATTCACACTTTTCTTGTTCTGCCCACATGTATCCATGAGAAAGAAGGGGAAAAAAACGCTTCACGTTTGGTTTTTGTTGTTTTTCACATTTTGGGCCTAATGACTCTGTCACCCACTCCGATCCCACGGAAGACAGAGCTCCTCACACAAACACCACGCACGGACGCACTCCTTCCCCAGGGGCGTTCTGTGCTGTGTTCACAGCAGCCCAGACACCCTGTCCGGACCGACCATGCGCCTGACTCCCGGCTCCTTCCTTTTGGCGACTTCGTGACGTCCGCCTGGAGTCTGGGGAGGGTGGCGGCGGGGAAGCGCCAGGTTGCCCGGCAGGGGCTGGAGTCCTGGCCCAGGAAGCAAAGCGTCGCCAGCCCTCGAGGGGGCCAGGCCAAGGGCGACGCTGACCCCCGGCCTTGTCCGAGCCCGCGGCCCACAGCCCAAGTCCTCGCAGCCACCGCCCGCCTGCCTACATCACCTCCGTCGTAGCGCACGCTCTCAGGACACTCGGATTTCCTGGGTGAGCCCGGGGCCAGCGGGCAGCCGGTCAGATTCAAGCACGGGATGCCAGGGCTCCAGGGACCGCGCTGGCAACAGGTGAGCTCCAGGCTGCGGCTCTGCTCCACAACCCACGCGCTCAGCTGCCACGTGCGCTCGCAAAACCAGGCCACCCAGCCGCGCCGAATTCTGCCAGGTGCTGCAGCCCCTACCCAGACGGGAGGCTCGATAAAAATGTAAAAATGCGGTTTTTATCAAAAATAATTAAAAGGATGCAAGAAACCATAACATTTGTTTTCAGAGTAAGATTCAGTTACCATAGGGCGACAGTATAGCCAGAGACCTTAAATATATGAATAAAGATATTTATGTGAGGAATCCAACTATTTCCTAATAAAATAAGAACTAGGTGCCAACTGTTTGGTTTTAAATACAAAGGTTTACGGGCTTCAGTTGTTTCTCATGCTAAACTTTCTTTGCTGGGTTTCCCATTTGCAGATTTGATTTTCATTTTTTAATCCACTTCCATTGTAAGAAAGAAGTCCTGGTGCCAAAAGTGCGAGTAGGATATGTTTCTATTTGGGGGGTGTGCCCGCGGAGTGCAGACGGGACACCAAATCCAGCGTCTTCCTTTCTGGCCGGAGACAGCACGTATCCGAGGAGGCCGGGGAAACGGCTTTGCGTCTCCGTTTGCCGGGCCGTGTTACTGCCATCCAGGCGCCCGGGCTCCTTGGCCCTCGCGTGGCCTGCAGGCCCATCTCCCAGGGGGCGCACCCCGCCCACCCGCTGCTTCTGCTCCCTAACACGCACGCAGGCACCATTTCACCTCGAAGACTGAAGTCCGTTCAGAGGTTGCTGGGGTCACATCCATTCAGTTGTTTCACTTTCAGGAGTCCATTTGAGATGTTCACCCCAAGTTTCTGTTTGAGAAAGGAAAAGCCTACCTTTCCCACAGCCGCAGTTCCCTCTCCCCAGGGAAGGCCCGTCGCGGCCTCCACCCCGTCACCCGTCAAGGCCCTCACTGGCCTTCGGGAGAGGGTGAGCTCTCTTGATGCCACTGGGCCACCAACCGGGTTTTCTTTAAAGTCAATGGCAACGTTTCTGTCCGCGTCTCTACACGGCACACTCGAGTTCCTCTACTGGAGGAACTACCACCACCAGCACTTGCAGAACATCCTGTTGGACGAAGACATCGATTTTACCTCATTTTTAAACATGATTATTTTGGTAAATATGGTTTTACTTGTTCACTTAGCTTTAGATCATAGCTGCAACTTCAAAGACACTTTGTACAAAATCAGCTTTTCTAGGATGAAGCGAGTGTTGACGGCACCACTGGGAGTGTTACTGGAAGGGTTCCCGGCAGGGGCCCCGTGGGCTGCAGCATGGATTCGGGACGGGCCAGTCCAGCCTGGCCCTGCTGCGAGGCCTGGGCCCCCGGTCCTCGTCCATGCCCTGGGCGGCCGTGAGAACCAACGCAAGTAATAAATGGCGAAGCTCCCCAACAAAGCGGGGCATGGAGCAGGCACTCGGTGATTGTTGTATCGATCTCCATACACAGTATCTCAAGTTTTGCCGGGTTCGCTTCCACATTAGGTTCAGTTCTACCCTGCAGGACGCAGGTCCAGCTCCCCCAGCGACAACCGCCCAGCCCAGGTACGTCACCCAATCCACACGCTTTCCTTCCACCCTGCGCTCCACCAAGGAAGTCGCCCTCCTGAAGGCCACCTGGCCCAGACACCGAGGCAGGCGACCTGGAGTCAAGTCTGAGCTGCAGTGCTGCTGGGGGCATCGCGGCCTCTGCCTGCCCAGGTCTGCAGGGAGCCCCACAGTAGCACATGGGGGACCCGCTCTCGCCGGGCCCTGCCACAGCTCACCACCCCCCATCCTCTGCTCGCCCCCGAGTGCCCGCACCCCGGTGTGGGCGTAGGACCTTCCCCGCTGCCTTCTGGGTGGTCCTGAGGTGCCATCCCAGCCCTTCCTCGAGGCCTCCCCTACACACCATCTTTTCTTCCACATGCCGTTCTGGGTTTACTCTGTCACAGCGATGATCCTAGTGCTTCAAGCACAAGAGTCTACACTGAGGAGTCTATGAATGGAGGCAACAGGGACGGACGTGCAAGGCAAGAATCAAGAGCAGGGGTTTGGGAGGGAAGACCGAAACTATTGGATTCTATCATCGGGAAGCAAGCTCTAACTGCCTGTCTTCCCCACCACTTCCACCTGCTGATTTTGGGCGGTTCGCAGGCTCATTTCCTGTCCTCGTGTGAAGGAGCCGCATCCATGCTGTCCTGGGAGGACACGATAGCTTTCCCAAATCTCTGAAATCTCTGAAAGTCTGACAAAGATTCCTCTAATACTTAGTATTTGGCCCTAAGGCATAAGGTTCTGCTTCAGTCTCCTAGGTCTAAGTCTCGTGGGGACGTGACATGAAGGTGTTTCCCAAAATCTTAAAGCTTCTTTTAAGAAATGAATGGGCTAGAAGAGGTCAGTCAATGTGCTGTATTCTAGCTACACCTCTATCAGGCTTAGGTTCCTAAGATGAGGGGAGTGGACGGCATCTCTG